AGCATCTCGCTCAAAAATGACCAAAGAGTTTCTATATTTTTCCTATTTAAAACTTGACTCTTCTGTAGTTACATCGTGTACTAAGAAAACTCTTGAAACTCTAGAAACTCTTTGGTCATTTTTGAGCGAGATGCTAACGGTCTAATCAGATTCAATGATCTATGCTAAGCTACAGCTAAAAGTGCTACCGCCAGACCCGGAGATCGGCTGAATGGATTCGAAAACGGTAAAACTCAACTGTTTAACTCTACAGGAGTTGGAAAATTAGACTATTTTCAAAAATAGTGGAGTGTTCCTTTAAACCAGAAAGCTCCACATGGGTAGTTGACATATACTGCATATACTAATGACTGAACTTTCCTGGACTGTGACGTGCTTTATCGAAAACGTTTTGTAATTATTTTATCATTATTATATGTGCAGTTTTTATCCATATATTAACTGAGAAAATAATTGTACTAATTTCAGATATCACACTCCAGGATGGCTTAAGTAAATTAAAAAGGAAAAAAGCAAATAAAATTGATTTAAAAAAAAAAAAAAAGTCCAATGAAAGCTCATTTCTACAATGGAATTAAAAATTAAAAAAGGTCATTGCAAATTTTGGATCTTGCAATTATGAGTTTATATCTCGCAATTTTGACTTTTTTCAGAATTGTGGCTGGGTTTTTTTTTTTTTCAGACGTTTTTTTTTTTGGAAAATTCAGAGAAAAAATGCTGAATATTCTGAGACAAAAAATCTGAATTGCAGGATATAAACTTGCCATTCTGTGAAAAAAAAAAAAAACAATAGTTGACATATACTGCATATACTAATGACTGAACTTTCCTGGACTGTGACGTGCTTTATCGAAAACGTTTTGTAATTATTTTATCATTATTATATGTGCAGTTTTTATCCATATATTAACTGAGAAAATAATTGTACTAATTTCAGATATCACACTCCAGGATGGCTTAAGTAAATTAAAAAGGGAAAAAGCAAATAAAATTGATTTAAAAAAAAAAAAAAAGTCCAATGAAAGCTCATTTCTACAATGGAATTAAAAATTAAAAAAGGTCATTGCAAATTTTGGATCTTGCAATTATGAGTTTATATCTCGCAATTTTGACTTTTTTCAGAATTGTGGCTGGGTTTTTTTTTTTTTCAGACGTTTTTTTTTTTGGAAAATTCAGAGAAAAAATGCTGAATATTCTGAGACAAAAAATCTGAATTGCAGGATATAAACTTGCCATTCTGTGAAAAAAAAAAAAAAACAATGTCTGATATAAATTCTGTACAAGAAACTCACAATTCTGAGAAAGTTTATGTTGTGCAATGTTCACTCACAATTCTGAGAAATGAACTCCAAATTGTGAGTCAAAAAAAAGATAAGAACATATTTGATTCAATGGCTTCCTTACAAACCTTTTCAAAATTTACTCTAAAATTAAGATGCATTTAATCAAGATGAAATTAAATGATTTTTTTTTTGATTATGCAGGACTCCAATAAACCTGGAGCCCATCTGACAGTGAAAAAGATCTTTGTGGGTGGAATCAAGGAGGACACAGAGGAGTATCATATCAGAGAGCACTTTGAGCGCTATGGGAAGATTGAGATTATTGATATAATGGAGGAGCGTTCAACTGGGAAAAAGAGAGGATTCTGCTTCGTCACCTTTGATGATCACGATGCTGTGGATAAAATTGTTGGTGAGCTTAGATGGAAACCATTTAGCTGCTACTGCAGAATCAGGTTTTATGGGTAAATTACATGTCCTCATCTAGATGGAGATGATTCTTTTGTAGTTGTTATGAATGCAGCTTTTATGAACTTGTTCAATTACAAATATTAAAATGCTTGCAAAATACTGTTTAAGTGATTGCAAAAAATTATTAAAATTAAACCCCAATGAAACATTAAAACAAATAAGTTACCTTATAAATTTTCAGATAAAATCATGGTACTGATATTTAAAAGTTCATGGGCATGGTATGCGTCATCTACCCCGAGTATGACAGAACAGCAAGAAATACTAGTTCATACAGGTTTTCTGAGCAAACAGATTTCTGTTTTTCCTTTTTCATCAGTGCAAAAATATCACACAATCAACTCGCATAACTGTGAAGTCAGAAAAGCACTACCGAAGCAGGAGATGCAAGCTGTTTCTAATCAGAGATGTAAGTAACGTGTTTCAAATCTAACTGCCTTTCTGATTCTCATTTTTATAATTAGGTTTATTATGTTACTGTAATATTCAAGTTGTCGTAGGTAATAATATATAACATGTTTTCTGTTGTCAGATCGCGGTGGAGGCAATTTCATGGGCAGAGGAGGAGGAAACTTTGGCCGAGGTGAGATGACATGCGATCCTGTACATCTGATCCTGTGTGTGTCGATTACATCTACAGTTTGTACAGCAGCACCTCAGGTGTGAATAAAACACAGTGAATGCTGTATCTTTCACAGGAGGGTATGGAGGAGGCCGGGGTGGCTGTGGAGGAGATGGATACAATGGATTTGGTGTGGACAATATCATTATACTAACATGAGCAATGAATAAATCCACACTCCCTTGTAAAACTTGCTGTTAATTTGTGCCAGAAGGGCTTCTTTGCCACAACAGTATATTTTTGAAATGGCTGCTTTGTTTGTAGTCACTGATTGAAATTGAGAATCACTGTATGGATAAGCATAAGGACATTTTCAAAGCTAAAAAAAAATGTTTTTTTCCTGTTATGAAGTCGATCATTTCATGAAGCTCAGACTGAAATGATTAGCGCTGAAGTACAGGTTTAGGATGTGTCTCTGGTGGTAGGTGGTAATTATGGTGGGGGTCCTGGAGGATGCGGTGGAGGTCCTGGATACGGTAACCAAGGCGGAGGAGGCTTTCGAGGATATGACAACTACAATGATGGAGGAAATTTTGGAGGTACAGTTTCATTTAAGTGAAGACAAATATTTGAGATGGGGTTGGAGGGGCGGGGTTTAAAAGAAGAGGTCTCAGTGATGTCATCCAAAAAGGAAATCGTTTCAGAGGCGGAGCAAGTGTTTGTTAAAGATGATGAAAGCAAACTTTATTTGTAGCAACATGGGCCAGTGAATCATTAAATTGAATCTTTATTTTGTGTTGATTAAATTGGAAAAAAAAAAGAGTTTTGGTGTTTGGAGAACATTTTTTTAACGTTTTTGAAAGAACTCTCTTTTGCTCACCAAGGGTGAAATACAGTAAAAATTGTGAAATATTATTATAAGTTAAAATACTGTATTCTAATTGAATATATTTTAAAATGTAATTTATTTCTGTGATGCAAAGCTGAATTTCCAGCATCATTACTCCAGTCTTCATGATCCTTCAGAAATCATTCTAATTTGTGACCCTGGACCACAAAACCAGTCATAAGTTCATAACCAGTCGAAATTGAGATTTATACATCATCTGAAAGCTGAATAAATAAGCTTTCCATTGATGGTTTGTTATGACAGGATAATATTTGCCTGAGATACAACTATTTGAAAATCTGGAATCTGAGGGTGCAAAAAAATCAAAATATTGAGAAAATCGCCTTTAAAGTTGTCCAAATGAAGTTCTTAGCAATGCATATTACTAATCAAAAATTAAGTTTTAATATATTTACAGTAGGAAATTTACAAAATATCTTCATGGAACATGATCTTTACTTAATATCCTAATGATTTTTGGCATAAAAGAAAAATTGATCATTTTGACCCATACAATGTATATTTGGCTATTACTACAAATATACCCCAGCGACTTAAGACTGCTTTTATGCTCCAGGGTCACATATGATGATTTGTTGATTCGCCAATTTCTTATTATTATCGATTTTTAAAACCGTTCAGCTGCTTTAATATTTTTGTGGAGTCCGTGATGCATTTATTTTCAGGACTTTTTTTTTTTTTTTTTTTGATGAATAGAATGCTCAAAAGAACAGCATTTATTTGAAATAGAAATCTTAACAATGTAAAAGCCTTTAGGGTCACTTTTGATCCATTTTGATTTCTTTAAAAATAGAATGTTTATATAATATAACATTAAACAAAAAATGTTCTGCTATTAAAGGGTTAGTTCACCCAAAAATGAAAATTAGCCCATGTTTTACTCAACCTCAAAGTATCCTAGGTGTATATGACTTTCTTCTTTCAGACGAATCCAATCGGAGTCCTTGCTCTTCCAAGCTTCATAATGGCATGGGCGCCTTGGGCGGGTGTTTTTTTCAAGTCCAAAAGTAGTCAAATAAAGCGCATCCATCCATAATAAACAGTTCCTGACTTCTTTTGGACTGATGAACAAAAAACACCCGCCCATGCCATTATGAAGCTTGGAATAGCCAGGACAATTTTTAATATAACTCCGAATGGATTTGTCTGAAAGAAGAAAGTCATATACACCTAGGATGCTTTGAGGGTGAGTAAAACATGGGCTAATTTTCATTTTAGGCGGAACTAACCCTTTAACCCAAATTTGTACCTGCATCACAGGTAACTTTGGTGGTGGAGGCGGCGGCGGAGGACGAGGAAATTACAACGATTTTGGGAATTACGCAGGACAACAGTCCAACTGCGGCCCCATGAAGGGAAATAACTTTGGAAGTAGAAACTCAGGACCTTACGGAGGTACAGAAAATCCAGTACACTGCATGCCACATCAGAAGTGAACCCACTGCGTGTGAGCCTGATCATGTGTTCTGATTGTTATATTTAGGTGGATACGGCTCTGGGGGCGGGGGCTATGGGTCCAGGAGATATTAACAGATCGGTTTGTCTGTGGTAAGTTCAGCGCCGCCTCAAGAGACTCCACAGACGTCTAACACGGGATGACTTGTGATGTGTCTGTTCAACAGGCCTCAGATCCAGAGTTAGATGAGAAGAGTGGGAAGGAAAGGAAAGATTACTGAGAAAGTGTGCGAGGGGCCAAGATCTGCCAGTTATAGGTCTTACTAACGTTAGTGTAGTCAGACGCTCCACAACTCGTGTGTGTGTGTGTGTGTGTGTGTGTGTGTGTGTGCGCTAGTGGATGTACATTCCTTCACCGCTTGACTTTTCTGTGCTTTTCACCTATGCTCAATCCCTTGTGAGCATTTTTGAGAGTGCTGCCAAACACTGTAGTCAGAATAGTCCTAAATATTATTTGATGTGAGTATACAATATGTTGTGGCCTTAAGTATATTATTTGGAGAAAACAGGACTTGTTTATTTTTTGATTTGACGACAGTGATGTCACGTGTATCTTTATATATTGTGAGTATGCAGTACATGTGTTGTTCATGAAGCTCTGAATGGTAAACGGAGTAGATTTAGTCAGATCTGAGGGCATGTGACATGTTAAACCTGTAAAGAGAGAAGTCTAGATTGTTGAAATATTTTTGACAAATGAAAAAAGAAACCGGCTGAAATAAAGTTGTGTAGTAACTTGCCTAACGAAGTTCAGTGCGTCATTGAGTCTGAAGGGGCGAGTGTCGCTGTCCTGAGCGCGTGTTGTTGTGTATGAGAGTAGAAAGGCCTCCAGGCCCAGACAGACGAACAGTTATGGGCTCTCAGACTGGCAGGTCGATCCCAGCCTCGACTGGACCAGGCAGCCAGTGTGTCTCCAGAAAACTAGCATCTGTTTCTGTGAGACTAGCTGTACCCGAAGGAAGGAAGGCTAGCGGAAAGCCCACGAGTATGAGGGTTTGAGACAGACCGAAGAAGAGGAAGAAAGAGTCATAGGAGCAGGTAAGAGTAACTCTTCTGCTTAATTTACAGATGGGAAAAGCAGCGCCTGATCGACAGTAAGTGGCTGAAAGTCTTTTATGACACGTTTTCAGCGCTGGTTCTGGATGGGTAAGATTAATGTGTGCAAAATATATGTGGATTTGGTCAAGATATCCTCCTGCAGAGATTCAGAAACTGCATTCAACTCAATTATTGCACATTGTGTGTGGCATAATCTCACTAAAGCCGACATTTCCAGGTCTTATTTCACCGTTCAAAACAAATTATTAATGTATATATATATATTAGTGCTGTCAAACGATTAATCGCGATTAATCGCATCCAAAATAAAGGTTTTTGTTTACATAATATATGTGTGTGTACTGTGTATATTTATTATGCATATATAAATACACACACATGCAATATATATTTTGAAAATATTAACATGTATATATTTATATAATTTATATTATATATAAATATATTTAATATATAAACATAATATATTTTTCTTAAATATATACATGCATGTGTGTGTATTTATATATACATAATAAATATACACAGTACACACATATATATTATGTAAACAAAAACCTTTATTTTGGATGCGATTAATCGTTTGACCGCACTAATTTATATACATTATTTTACATGTATTTGTATAAATTATATTTAATCATTTGTATTTATTTATTTGTGGTGCAACAGAATTTTGATCATAATTAGGCACAATTCCTCTAATTCTTAAAGTCTAATTCTCATTACTGAAATGTGGGGAAAGAATTATATTTGAAATGAGTAAATTATTTAGACATCATATTGTGCTGCCTTTATGCTGATTGTAATTGCATTACGATTTAAAAAATATTTTTAATTGAAATTGTACGTAACATGGTTTTGAGGCATGGTCGCATTAGCGAAACTTAAATTCTGGTCACAATTACCATTTTCCGGCAAATTTTAGCTTGCAAAATCCAGTAATTTCAATAGAAATTCAATTTGAAAGATTTTTCCACGCAGATTTCGCAGCGGGTTCAGGTTGGTCAAGTGGATTTGCTGCTGTGCCAAAACGGAAATCTGCTTGGTTTGAACATGACTAAGGTGTAAGCTGTGCTTCATACATCTCTAGACTAATGACAACAGACAACGAAAGACTTTTTGCCTGCGAAATTTTGCTACTATGAACACACCTCTAGGCGAAATTTCATTGTCAAAGTTCATTGTCAATAGCGTAACGGTGAATGAAACAGCACTTTCCAATCCAAGCAGCTTTATATTGGTCCACGCAGAGAATTTGCGTGTCAAAAGTATAACAAAATCAAATCCATTGTGCAATCCACATGGGGAACACGTCAAACAAGTGAAATTCCCAATCATGCAGATTCCTGTTGAGATTACTGAATTTTGTCGTACAAAGGTAAATGTCAGAAGTACTGATAATCTAATGAATCATCATTGAAAATAATGTGAATTACAAAACTAAGTAAAAAGTCTGGGCATCTTATGGTAATACGAATTTAGATTTAAGAACTAATTTTAAGAATTTAGTGCCAGATTTACTAACAGCTTGCGCCAGTGCAAACCGTCTTTTGGCATTAAAATAGTAGGCCTACTGTCAGGACTTAGGCCTACTAAATTAGGAGTTTCCCTATCAGATGCAAAATTTATGGGAGGAGAGTATTAAAATTGGTATTTGCGCTATTATTTAACCAGCACCTGATGAGCATCGGCTCTGCTTATTTGCAACTACGCTTATTTGCACTGCGCTTGGTATATTTAGTTGGTCAATATGTAAATGAGATGTTGCATAATTTGCGCGTTGTCAGTAAATCACCAGCAGAAATTTCCGCACCCATCGGCGCTGTTTTGAATTGCGCTAGTTTGCCCTGTTCAGTAAATCTGGCCCTAAATTTTGAGAAAATTTGGAAATGCTAAGATTGGCTGGCAGCACACATTAGATTTGTTGTTTTAGTGTGGTTCATTCAGTGTACATATTTGCTGAACCTTCACTCATATCTCAGATATTTTTTGTCTGATATCAATCACTTGACAGCACTTTAATGAACTGTGAACGTTTTATTCTGTCGTTATTAAAAGCATTGATTCTGGATGTTCATAACAGGACAGGTTCTAACTCGCTATACTCTTTAGTATGTATTTTTTTTGTGGGAGGATGTTCATTCAGGGTAAATCCATGTATATTTACACATATTTTATAGTCATGAAACATCACTCATAATGTCAGAATGAATAACTGGGATAGCATTGCCAAATGTTGATTTGTTTAATAAAAACGTTTGAAACCCCACAAGAATGTTTCATTTACTGTGTTTGTGTTGTTTCTGTGTGAGTGCAGGGCCTTTCCTTCTCACGCAATGCTTATCTTACTCCAAAACCTGTCATGGGGACTTTGGTCCCTTGACACTGAATCAAGGTCACGAGCATTGGTAAATGTTTAAGATAATGTTGTCCTAGATACGTCACATGCTTTCACTCTGACGACTTAAAACGGAAGAAATTAAACATTTAGTCTACAACTCTTTAACATTTACTGTAACATTGCTCATTTATATAACTGGGCCCTAGGTTGAGTCTGTTGACAGGAGAGAGAATGCATGGCAGTTTAATGCTGACATAAGACTGAACAAAAGAAGCATTCAGTGAGCCATTTTCACCTGCTTTTTATCATACATTTAGCTTCATATAGTGAAAAAAATCCTACATTGTGATGTGTAAATGCAGGTTTGTGAACAGGTTGGCCCTGTTGGTGTAGCGTGACTTGCTGACAATGGAGAGCTACTGTAGTGTGCAAAGGAGAGGGTTTGGTGTGTTCAAAGGTGGTGTGTGTGGGTCAAAGTGGCTGGCAATGCAAACAACTCTCTTTACTGGTGTACTTGGTCCAGTGGGGCTTTAATGAAGGCATGTCTAACATTGGGCCGCCGCCAAACAATTCAGCTCTGTTGCATAACCCACTGAGACTGGGGCTGTTCGCTTGAGGAAGATTCAGTTGAAACTTGTTTGCAAAAGGCCTTTCACCCTCAAAGGCTTATGATTTGTTAAATCTCATGAATTGGGGTAGATTTTGTGAGTATGTAATGATGGTGGATTGCCAAAATAGAAAATCTGTTTACAAGAAACCTAACAATTTGAGCCCAAAACCTCAAATAATGAACAGCTTTTTCCCAATGATTATGTTGTCATGGCGTAAAATATACAGTGGCCTCAATAAGATTTTGGACTCTTAAGCTACACTTTATCTAGATTCATGTCACTGCATTAGAAAAAAAATATTAGACCAAGTCGTATCTGCAAATAAATGCTTCTTTTTTCACTTTTTTGCCACATATTTCTTCATTATTTTTGCTCAGTGTCTTCATTTTGAGCAGTACAATTACTGTTGTAAAATATAGGCCAATTCTTTTTATATTTTGTATATAGTGATTTTTTCCCGTAGTTGATTTTGATGTTACTTCCTTATTCATTCTTGTCAATATCCACTTCCTCTTTGCTGACCCACTCCATCAACAAACCAACTCCCATTCAAGACTGCATTAGACTTTGCTGGTTTAAATATTTATTTATTATATAAAGCCATAAAGTCAAGAGATAAAATAGCAATAGAATAGTAAATTAAGATATAAAAACTGACATAAGTGCAGACTTAAAATGATCACAACCATTTTTAGCATACTAAAATGTGATCTATTTATATATATATATATATACAGTACATTTGTTCCTATCTCAATAGCAAATAAAGTATAAATGTATTTACAAACCATATAGGTAAAAGAATCTCAGAGAAAATATAAAGGAGTACAAAATCCAACGGAGGTTAAGAATATTAGGAAAGTAGAATACGCAAAACGTATATAATAGTTCTGCCATTTCAACAGTTGATGTATAAGCAAAAATACACTCCTATTTAGTTGTTTCCTTTGCGTAAAACATACACCGTGTCCTAACCAGTCGCGATGGATTTAGCGATGTTGTCAACACTTCATGTGACTAAACTGTGCGGAATAGGAACATATTTGATGATGCTTAATGTACTATTACATGCAACCTGATTTTGGACCAATGAGATTTCATTGTGGGCGGGGCTTCCCACCACATTATTCTGTGGCTGGTCAGGACAAACGCACTGACGTGGGAAGAGCCTTTGTCACTTCATTGCGTCATGCCTGGTTAGGACACCGTGTTAGCAAGAGAAAAGCAGTACCAAAAAACAGAAGCAAGTGTGAAAGGACAGAGTAGAAGGAACCAAGCTAGTTGTTCTTTACAAGAATCTTTTTAAGGCGAGGAACGAGGAACACGGTGCCGTCCGCAGTGTGCTGAAGGGAGTATTCGCTGGGCGAGAAGGGCTTGCCGTGCTCGTCTCGAAGCATACTGAAGACCTCTTGGTACAAGGTACTCAACTGCTGCTTCATCTCTCTCAGACTGGAGCTACGCTCGCTCTTCTTCTTCATCAAACGCTCCTTCTCCTCTTTCAGCGAGTCCAGCTCGTACTCCAGGCCCACAATGTTCTCCAGCTTTCTCTTGCGGCAGTTCTGTGCCGCAACCTTGTTCTTGCCCCGACGGCGGATGTCTCTGACGAGGGCGAGTTGAGCCTCATTGAGCTGGTGTTTGGACATCATCTCGTTAAAGTCATCCACAGGCAGACTGATGATCTTGTCCACAGTAAATGGGATCTGCAAGGCTTTTGCTCTCTGTTCGTCACGGGAGAGCCGCGCCTCAGAGCGTTTCTTCTGCTTGTCTTTGGTAAAGGGAGGTTTGGAGTGGCCGCTGGCCTCCGCCGGCTCTATCTTTTGGTTCTTCGCTTTCATCTCCTGTTGGTCTGCCGGAGGTTTCTCCGAGAGAGATCCCTGCGCTCCGTCGTTAAGGTAAACCAGCGGGAATATCTCGGTATAATCTGACTCCATGCCTCCCGGACTATTGTCCATCTCTTCAGAGTCGGAGTCGCTAAAACCAAAGGATTCATCTCCGTTCAAGGACTTCCCCGGAGAGCTCATGTGAGGACTGCAATCCAGCGACAAGCCGGAATCAGAATCTGGGAATTCGGCCATAGGCTCCGGTTTTCCTGAGCTGAAGCTTCCAGGTGAGAAGCTGTGCAGATCCATGGTGTTCACAGGAGGATCGCTGGAGATCTCCGCCAATTGGCTGACCATATTTCCTCCATCAGAGACGAGAGGACCACTGTTCACTTTAACCTCCATCTCAGGATAAAACAGCTCATTGAATTCTTCAGGTCTAAACTCGGCCCCCACCTCCGGGACGTTCAGACTCATCTGGCTGAGGTTGGGCGACACCATAGTGTT